TGGGACACCTTCCTATGATCGATCGCGACAATGACGTAACAGTCGGAGCTATCGCCGAAGCCGAGAAAGACCAGCGGATCGCACACAAAGACACCTCTGGCTACGCCATACCTCATGGCAGTCGTGCAAGAGACATTGTGGAAGTTGGATCCACAGACTGACACGAATCGATCAGGTATCAGACGGTAAAGATCGCCCACTCGGATCGTGACTTCGCAGTCGCTCCCTTGCCTCTGGAGCAACAATTTGATGGTGCTGCCGACGTTCGTGTCCCATTTTCGGTCAAGGTCGATAAAGTCCATCACAGGTTCGTCATTGATCTTGATCAGCACGTCACCCAGCACAATGTTGCCGCTTGACTCTCCATCGGGTAACACAGTTTCGACAACAAGCATGCTGGTCGCCTCCGGCGCTAAATTGCGTCGTTCAGCTTCCCGCGTGTCGCTCAGCCCATGCTTGCTGCGACAGATGTGGAATGGCTTGGGCGTGAAGCGACATCGAATATCCCCGCGGGTAATAGGCTTGCTTTGCTGAATGCAACATAAAGCGCGCAACGCCCTGTCGAGAAGCAAGCAGACGTTTATCCCGCCGGAGTAGCGTCCACAAAACAGGGCAACTACTGACCCATCTTTCAAGAAAACCGGACCCCCAGAGCTGCCTGAGCCGGCTCCCGCTTTGACTTGGCAGTAAGGAGAGTTGTACCTGTCGTGAGGCGGATGGATATGTAGCCGACTGATTATGCCGCTGTGTATACTCAAGCCTAGAGCATTTTCATTGCCGACTATTTGAATCTCCTCGTGAGCTGCGAGTTTCATCCTGTCGTCAGCGAGATAACAAGAAGTGGCCTGTGGGGGTCGAAACCTCGCGCCAGGTCTGGCCGTAGTTGCAAGCCATCGACTTTGGCGAATTTGATGGTGTCTGGATCGTAATGTAGGATGGCAAAGTCATGAATGGGATCTGAAAACACAATGCTGAGTTCAACGCTTTCACTACTTCCAAAGACGCAACAAATCCGAGATGGGCCACCGCCGATGACATGAGCGCAGGTCATGATATACCTACGATACCCATGATCATTAACTGACATTGCTAGAGGCGCAAGAGTCTCACATACCCTAGATTCGCATCTACCACGAACCCGGTAGCTTGCCCCGTACCGGCGGGGTTTTCGCCAAATGAGCAGAGCTTAGTGCAGTCAAGCATGACAACATTGTGAAGAACTCGTCGGATTGTCGTTTGGCACGTTGCATCATCCGCCATCGATAATCCGGACACCTCAGGCTGGTCGCAGACGGCTGCCATGGCAGCGGGATACTCGACGGCGGTCTTCGCGGAGTGGCTGTCGACATGTGGTCAAAATTCCGGAGAGGCCAGTGTCATTTATAGCGGCAAGCTGGTCTTGGGCACACTGCTGCGAGCGATCTTGCCCTGCTCCACTGCGCAAGTCAGGTTCGGCAGACGTTGGTCCATGTGGCGTGAGATTAGGCACTAGACTTGTTCGTCAGAATCATCTTTCATCCCTGTCCGAGGCACCGGCCTGGATGCTACTGCGTTGCTGCTGCCCCGAAACTTGCGCGCCAGGATCATGTAGTTGCGAAGGTGGAGCGCTGTTGTACGTGCTATGGAACACCACCGCTACGCGGCACAGGACTGTCTAGCGACGTACCACCTTGCATTGCGCCCGATGATTTGCGAGGGAACAGCCTCTTCACCGGGTCCCGCACCGTAACATACATCATCATGGAAATCCAAAGCGCGCACTGTAGCGCAAAATCAACACTGGGCCAGCCGCGTATGCCACGCATACTGCAAACGAGTAATGCAAGCGACGACGCTGAAATGAAAGCCGCCAGCACCGCCAAAGAAACCAGGCGAATATCCCATCGTGTCGCGTCCTCGCCGACCGGCAGCGTGAACGAAAGATGAACCGCAAGGAAAAGAACAGCAGCGTGTGAAAGGCATGGCATTGCCCACAATGCCTCGACGCCCGATGTAACAAGTTGCCAACATGCCCAGCCCAAGAACGTTAGCGAAAGAGTGGTCCAAACACCGTTGAGTGCCAGACCTGCCCGAGGGTGGCGCGAGATAAGCGGCAGTGCAAAGAAGAACTGCATCATCAGTCCCATTCCATGACACGTGGCGCGATGTCATACCTCGACGATGGTCATAGTTGTGATTATCCTGCCCTTGCACCCCCAGAAAGTTGCAAGCGCTGCGTCGCCAGTCAGACCAAAGAAAATGAAGGTCAAGGCAGCGAAGCTAAGGAAGAGCGACGCCACCCCTATCCAGGGAAGGTGCGACCGAAGTGGGTGGTGTTCATGGTTGCTGGAGAAGCAGTA